GCAATCATCAAGTCCACGATCCAGTCCCGACGAAGTCAAGAGTCGTAGGTCGTTTGCTGAGAAGTTGATCTCCAGAAGACAGGAGAGAAGAGGCTGGTAGCATTCAACAGGACGACTGGTAAGAGTGACTATTAACTTTTCGCCTGTGAGCAAGGCTGGTGATCATTTTATCGGTCATTCCGTGAATGAACTGTGACTAACGTGACTAACCAGTGACGCTACGTGCACAACCTGGTGAAGCAACACAAGGACGCGTTCCTTAGCGCTCTCGAAGGGATGAGGATGCCCAAAAACTTCATTGCAAAGGAGCTTAGTGAATGATCCGCAACATCACCAAGGATATTGCAGGGGGGGGGGGGATAGCCCAAGGACATGCCTGATGTCATGGATCAGCTGGTGACGGTGTGACGTCGTTGAGACATCTGAGACGACAGAGGGCTGAGGAACCTGAGAGGAACTCTTGGCTTTTGTTGAGGAATCTGTAAATGTTCTATTTGAATAACCTGCCTTCCCAAACGTGTGGACTTGCTTCATGTGGAGTTAATGAACACTGCTGATCTATGGAGAGTCCTGAGGTAAAGCGACACTGTAAATATGTGCGTGTGTGTGTGTGTGTGTATGCATGTACGTGTGTGTATGTTACGGTATCGACACCACTGCTGTAGTGTGGAGTGGCGATTTCGACGCCATTTATGGACCTGCACTCCAATTCCCAGGTACTAGGTGCGACGCAGACAACGCCATCTGTTGGCGGTGGTGTGGCGTCAGCGAAAGGCTCCTGTTTCCTGCCTCAGTTAGAAGGATGATGACCTCTGGTGGGTGGCGTATCGACATCAACGCCGATGATTGCCATTGAGTGTGGAGTTAATGAACACTGCTGATCTATGGAGTGTCCTGAGGTAAAGTGACGGTGTAAATATGTGTCGTAATACTTTCATATAATATATATAGTGGCGAAAGCGTTAATATATTGGTGAGGGAGTAATTACATATTATTTATCTCTCTCCCCCATCATTATTCTTTGCACTACTACTTGCCACAGCCAGTTGTTGAGAACTTACGACCAACTTGGGATACGATAAGGAAGAAGAGGTTATAAGATATATTAACAGCAAGAACCCGGTTACTCGCCCAAAGTGGCCGTAACAGTGTACGTGCAAGTATCAATTAGATGTGAGCAACATTGCCAGGTTAGTTTATTTACCTGGGTCATCACTTTGTGAATCCTCACTAATTACTGCGGCTACCTGAGGTTGCTGACGCCTCCACCACCCACCAGTCACCAGTCTCCACCATCCACCAGTCTCCACCACCACCCACCAGCCTCCACCACCACCACCCACCACCACCCACCAGTCACCACCACCCACCAGTCTCCACCACCACCAGTCACCACCACCCACCAGTCTCCACCACCACCAGTCACCACCACCCACCAGCCTCCACCACCACCCACCAGTCACGACCACCACCAGTCACCACCACCCACCAGCCTCCACCACCACCACCCTGCCGCACGTTACTCGCCAATCCCTCATTAATTATAAACTTAATGGAACCGGAAGTAAATAGGACAATTACCCCTGTTAATTAATTACAGAGCGAGCGTGTGTGTGGTGGGGGGGTGAGGGGGGGGGGTCATCAGGTGGGTGCTCCCCAGGGGTCGTTAATCACAGGGCGGCCTCGGGGCTCCTCCCAGGTGGGTAGTTTGTGCTCCTGGACTTAGGGTAGTTAATATGTACCCCGTGTAAATGGTTGTGGTTGTGGCCTCTTGTGTGGCTAAGGTGATGTGGTCTCTAGTGTGGCGGAGGACCTCTAGTGTGGGGGAGGGCCTCTAGTGTGGGGGAGGACCTCTAGTGTGGGGGAGGACCTCTAGTACGTCCCCCCCCCCCTTCCCTCATCCCTTCACCCTTCCCACATGCCTTCCCCTTCCATCACATCTTCTCCTTCCCCTTCACTAACCCCCTTGGACTGTGTAAAGTAACAATAGAGTTGGTGACTTAAAGTGTGTGTTTTAATGAGGTGATTGTTGGCTGGGGGAGGAGGGGCGCCCTGTGTGACAGATGGTGGTGGTGATGGGAGAGGTTAATGGGTGGCTGGGGGAGGCGGCGCTCCCCCACAACGACAACAACACTTCAGATAGGGAAGGGTTGGGTGTAAAGAGGTGTCGGCTTTCCAACTTTTCTCATGTTCTTGCCCTAGCTCCCTATAATCTCTCCTCTCTGTCTCTCACACTCTCACACTCACACACACACACACACACACACACACACACACACACACACACACACACACACACACACACACACACACACACACACACACACACACACAGCACATTTTAAACCTGCTCCTAAAGACCCATTTATCTCATGAGCTTATTATATGCATCATTGCGTTTAAACTTGAGGGAACATTTTCCTGTTGGGAAGGAAAGGTGAACGAAGCCTAGGAATGAATGATTGCTGATGGAGTGATGTTCTTGAGAAAAGCACTTCTAGCATGAGACTGTTAGCCATAGATAGCCTAATGTTACGTGTGCCAACCCCCCTGGTTGTCCACGAAGTAGGGCCAGGTGCAGAACTTTGAGAATGGTGTCCTTGTCCAAAAGTCTTGATGAATGATGGAGGGCAGACAGTCCAGGCGAGGGGGGTGCATACTCAAGATGAAAGCGAACTTGTGCTTCATATAAGGTTTAACAGCCCTTACTGTCGAGGTGTGGGATGCACCGTAGGGCTGTAAGTTTCCTTCCTAGCTGCCTTTTGGGCTAGTTCACGCACTTCATTGTCAACTTCATGTCTAAAAATGTCAGTTTCATCTGTGAAGTCTAGGTGTTTACCACCCATTTGCAAGCCTGTCCGATTTTGCCATGTTGAGTCTAGTTATCATCATGGCTTGTGTTATCTCAGCCGGCAATATGACCCGCGATAGGTTGGTGGTTGATGAGTCTTTCAGCAGTTGGCATTTCTTCCTTTCTGTATGTGAAGGTAAGAGTGCAATCTTCCCTACCCTTTCCCCTCTCTCTCTCTCTCTCTCTCTCTCTCTCTCTCTCTCTCTCTCTCTCTCTCTCTCTCTCTCTCTCTCTCTCTCTCTCTCTCTCTCTCTCTCTCTCTCCATCTCCCCTCACCCCCCGCCCTGTAGGGGAGGGGGGGGGGGGCAGTGTCCCCGAGAGGATCAGACAAGATTTACATAGTTGAGTGGAGGCGGCCTCCCAAGCCTTGCCTCCCTCTCCTTCCCCTTTGTCTAGTGGGGCTCCCTCTGCTGGCCTCTCTGCTGCTGCTGCTGCTTCTGCTGTTGCTGCTGCTGCTGTTGCCTCTGCTGCTGCCGCCTGAAATTCTGACCAATTAATATATTTTCACGCCTCTCCCCCTCTCCCTCCCACCCCCCCTTCCCACCCCCCCCGCCCACCAAAGCACTGTGATCCCCCCAAAACATGTCAGTCAGTCATCTTTCAGATATCCATGTCAATTCGAGAGCCATAAAGAGGCAAGTGCCCTCTCCATCTTGCAATGTTCGGTGGAATTTCGCCCTTAAGGTAAGCTGGGAGAGGGTTGAGGGTGGGGTGAGGGAGGGCGCGTGGGTAACGCCCTTGTGCCCTGCCCTCCCCCAGCCCTCCCGCCCTAAGTGGACACCTTCATGTTCCGATAATTGTGCGTGACGTCACGGCCCTCTTGCGCACGCACGTGTGTGTGGCTGTGTGCACACGCACATGTGCGTCGCTGTGTGTGTCAGCACATGTGTGCGTCGCTGTGTGTGTCTGCACATGTGTGCGTCGCTCTGTGTATCTGCACGTGTGTGCGTCGCTCTGTGTGTCTGCACATGTGTGCGTCGCTGTGTGTGTCTGCACATGTGTGCGTCGCTCTGTGTGTCTGCACATGTGTGCGTCGCTCTGTCTGCACATGTGTGCGTCGCTCTGTGTGTCTGCACATGTGTGTGTGTGTCTGTGTGTGCTCCAATGTACTCACCTATATGTATCTGCAGGGGCGGGCTTTAGTTCCTGGGTCCGCCTTACTTCTGCTGGCCCCTCCCTGTACCCCCAAATTATTGCAGGAGACGCAACTCCGACTACCACAGCAGCCAGGAGCAGAGAAGCCTGCCTCATAGCCGGCCGGCCGAGCGGACAGCACGCTGGACACGTGATCCTGTGGTATCGAGTTCGATCCCGGGCGCCGACGAGAAACGATGGGCCGAGTTTCTTTCACCCTATGCCCCTGTTACCTAGCAGTAAATAGGTACCTGGGAGTTAGTCAGCTGTCACGGGCTGCTTCTTGGGGTGTGTGTGTGGGGGGGGGGGGGAGGAATTGGTAGTAGAAACAGTTGATTGACAGTTGAGAGGCGGGCCGAAAGAGCAGAGCTCAACCCCCGCAAGCACAACTAGGTGAAATATAGGCATAGACCAGTCGTCGTAGCGGTTGTGCTCGGGGGCTCTAGTCCTTTCCCCCCCCCCCAGGGTGGAGGCCCGCCCACCCTAAAAGCCTCAACCAACGATGTGAACCTTAACTGACAGGAGCCTTGTTTCTCACTCAAATACCTGTCACAGGGACTGTTAGAGCAAATGTGGGCAGGGGGCCCCACCACCGCCCACGGTGTGGGTAGAGGGTCCACCACCGCCCACGGTGTGGGTAGGGGGGGGGGTCCATCACCGCCCACGGTGTGGGTAGAGGGTCCACCACCGCCCACGGTGTGGGTAGAGGGTCCACCACCGCCCACGGTGTGGGTAGGGGGGTCCACCACCGCCCACGGTGTGGGTAGAGGGTCCACCACCGCCCACGACAGAACAATTGACTATCCAATGTTATCCAAGACAATCAAACCTCCACTATCCAGCATAAGAAAGTTGCCAGCATCCTGGAAGTCAAGATTAATGGAGCAGGAATCAAGCTCACATTAGTGACCAACAAACCAGAAACTGTCTTACACAAACTGGGGAGATTCTTTAACCTTGGCGGGAACATTCACCCAACAGTAGTCTTAGGTTCATAGCCTCTCCCTCATCCAGTGACTATATTGACCACCCTCTACCCTCATCCACTGGCAATATTGACCACCCTCTACCCTCATCCAGTGACTATATTGACCACCCTCTACCCTCATCCACTGGCAATATTGACCACCCTCTACCCTCATCCACTGGCAATATTGACCACCCTCTACCCTCATCCACTGGCAATATTGACCACCCTCTGCCCTCATCCACTGGCAATATTGACCACCCTCTGCCCTCATCCACTGGCAATATTGACCACCCTCTACCCTCATCCACTGGCAATATTGACCACCCTCTACCCTCATCCAGTGACTATATTGACCACCCTCTGCCCTCATCCACTGGCAATATTGACCACCCTCTGCCCTCATCCAGTGACTATATTGACCACCCTCTACCCTCATCCACTGGCAATATTGACCACCCTCTACCCTCATCCACTGGCAATATTGACCACCCTCTGCCCTCATCCAGTGACTATATTGACCACCCTCTACCCTCATCCACTGGCAATATTGACCACCCTCTACCCTCATCCACTGGCAATATTGACCACCCTCTGCCCTCATCCACTGGCAATATTGACCACCCTCTACCCTCATCCACTGGCAATATTGACCACCCTCTACCCTCATCCAGTGACTATATTGACCACCCTCTGCCCTCATCCAGTGACTATATTGACCACCCTCTACCCTCATCCACTGGCAATATTGACCACCCTCTACCCTCATCCACTGGCAATATTGACCACCCTCTGCCCTCATCCACTGGCAATATTGACCACCCTCTACCCTCATCCACTGGCAATATTGACCACCCTCTGCCCTCATCCACTGGCAATATTGACCACCCTCTACCCTCATCCACTGGCAATATTGACCACCCTCTACCCTCATCCACTGGCAATATTGACCACCCTCTGCCTTCCCAGTCCTAGTCACAAACACCATCGACCCCGTTTTTACGACTTTATAGTAAACTACCGTGGTAGGTAATTAGTGCGTCGTGTCGTCCTTCTCTTTTCTCTTCCTCTTCCATTCCCCCCCCCACCTCTTCCTCCCCCCCCCCTCCCCTCCACAATAACACCACCAATCTCCAACACTCCTGAGCGTCAGCAGTGACTGGTAAACCTTCTCCACCAGTCAGTCGCCTCCCCTCTTCTACACTCTCTTCACCCCTCAATGCTCACGCCCCTCCCTCCATTCTTTGTGCCCTTCACACGCCCTTCCCATCCCATCCCCCCTCCTCTTCCCCCTCCTGTTTCCCCTCCCAGCTTCCCTTGACACTAATTCCACCCAAATCCACCTCAATCTCTATCACTCTCACGCCCTGTGTTTCCCTACAGTTCCCCCCCCCTTCCCCTCAACCCCCCCCCCCACCCCACTCCCTGCTGAGGGGAATTTAGTGCTCAGGAACTGGGTCGAAGGTTGGGACTTGTGATGGTCGGAAACGAGGTCAGAGGAGATGAAGGGAACCAATGAATAGGGAAGAGAGGCAGGAGGTTGGCTCTGTAGTGGCCGGGTATGGCTAGTGTGTGTATATATATATATATATATATATATATATATATATATATATATATATATATATATATATATTTATTGTGACGGTAACGTGTTGGTGTTCGGCTGTTTCAAAAGCTAGGGGCATGGCCTCGTCACATAAAGAAAAAAAAAGAGAAAAGCTGGAACTTTCGTCTGTGGTAAGGTAATGGGAAGACACACAAAACACAAGTAAATTTAACAATGAAATTTTAATTACGTTAGAAAAGCAAAACATGAATAAAATTGGGCATAAAAAATGTAACAGGTAAATCAACAAACAAAATAATAAGAATAATCACTGGCAAATGAAAAGTTACGTTAAGACAAGTGAATAATAGCAAAGTAAATTAAATTAGTGCAGGAATATTGGTTTCAAGCTGCCACCTCCCTTAGTACACGTAAGCCAAGGCTTAGTCTACCAATGAGACGTGTCAACTTGTGTGGAGCACGATATATTCTGCCTTCCCTAGGTCGCGGTGGCCCAGACATCAGCTCGTGTGGCGGGTGGTGGGGCAGGTGCGACGGGCACCAGCCAATCAGCGACAGGCAGGCGATGGACAAGCAGTTTGCCGGTTCACGGTGGCGGAGGCGAGCAGGTGCGCCGGTGCTGGATACGTTTTGCTCTCTGGGCAAAACGTTGTTGTATTTGTTGGATATATCTTCTATATTAGTTGTTACTGGGACGTAGTTTGGAGGGAAGAGCAGGCTCAATCTCTCTTGAAAGAGATTATCGTCACAATATATATATAATGTTGTACCTAGTAGCCAGAACGCACTTCTCGGCCTGCTATGCAAGGCTCGATTTGTCTAATAGGCCGAGTGATTTTCTTTATTTTTCAAAATATTGTTTCCAGTTGGTTTATGTGAATGATTATTATTATATTAGGAACTTGAAAGTATTGACTTAGTTATGTTAGTTTAAGGCTGGTTAGGTTAGGTCATATATCTACGTTAGTTTTAACTCAAATTAAAAAAAAATTTACTCATACATAATTGAAATAGATAGCTTTATCATTTGGTAAGATTTTTTTTTTTAAATATATAAATTCAGGATCAGGATCACCCGAGAGAATGGAGAGGCACAGGTGAAGGGAAAGTTTAGAAACGGAAGCTAAGCTAAGCTAAGCTAAGCTTGCTCTCTCTTGTCAGGGAGCTCTGAGTGTGAGAGGTTCTTCACATGAGGTTTCTTCTTCATGCGAGAGGTTTCACCATATATGGATGTCTATAGATGTAGCATTCATCTGTATACATTCCGATGCTTCCACACATGTTGTTCTGTATAAGGAGCTATATTGTATTAGCAATTCATTTACATACACTTTTTTAATCATTTATTATTGGAGGGATTTCTGGTCAATATTTCATCTGAGAATTATCTACTGTAGGGTTAGGTTTTCATTGAGTTTTTCCTTTCATTTCAGACCTCCCTTAGCCCCATTCATTCCCCCCCTAGCCCCCTCCTAGCTCCCCCCGCCTCCCGAGCTCCAACCAGTCGTTGTTCACGTGTCGGTAATTTAGAGGATTAAGTGTTTGATGGTCGTCTATTGTCCTGGGAATCAAGGCTATCAGTCCATTAGCATGTGTGTGTGTTTTATACGACCCTGTGACGTCAGTAGTCATATATGAGACCCGTCTTGGTGGAGTCAGGTGTGTGGGGAGAGTTGTGGTGGAGTCAGGTGTGTACTCACCTATTTGTGCTTGCAGGATCGAGCATTGACTCTTGGATCCCGCCTTTCCAGTCATCGGTTATTTACAGCAATGACTCCTGTCCCATTTCCCTATCATACTTAATTTTAAAAGTATGAATAGCGTTTGCTTCCACAACTTGTTCCCCAAGTGCATTCCATTTTCCCACTACTCTCACGCTAAAAGAAAACTTCCTAACATCTCTGTGACTCATCTGAGTTTCCAGTTTCCACCCATGTCCTCTCGTTCTGTTATTATTACATGTGAACATTTCATCTATTTCTACTTTGTCAATTCCCCTGAGTATTTTATATGTTCCTATCATATGTCCTCTTTCCCTTCTTTTCTCAAGTGTCGTAAGGTTTAGTTTCCTCAGACGCTCTTCATATCCCATCCCTCGTAACTCTGGGACAAGCCTCGTCGCAAACCTCTGAACCTTCTCCAGTTTCCTTATGTGTTTCTTCAGGTGGGGGCTCCATGATGGCGCGGCTTACTCTAAGACTGGTCTCACGTAGGCAGTGTAAAGCGCCCTAAAAGCCTCCTCATTTAGGTTTCTGAAAGAAGTTCTAATTTTCGCCAGTGTAGAGTACGCAGCTGTCGTTATCCTATTTATATGTGCCTCAGAGGATATATTAGGTGTTACGTCCACTCCCAGGTCTTTGGGATAGATTAGGTGTTACGTCCACTCCCAGGTCTTTGGGAGACCTGGGAGTGAACTCATTAAACCAGCTCATTACGTGAGAGAGAACTAGATAAGCACCTCCAAAGGATACCTGATCAACCAGGCTGTGACTCATACGTCAGGCTGCGAGCAGCCGCGTCTAACAGCCTGGTTGATCAGTCCAGCAACCAGGAGGCCTGGTCGACGACCGGGCCGCGGGGACGCTAAGCCCCGGAAGCACCTCAAGGTAATGTAAGGAATGGCTCATTAAATCAGCTATGTTTCAATGGCTCTGTAAACCCACTTACTTGGATAACTGTGGTTATCCAATTAAGTTTATTCAATTTTAATTTATTATTCAATTACAAAAATTGTAATTGAAAAATCAATTCTCCTAAATTCATTTTTATTTCTAGTCTGACGCGATGTCTGAACGCGTTTCGTAAATACCTATTACATTTTCAAAGACTAGTTTACACACTAAAACTAGTCGTGTAAACTAGTACTCGGACCCATCCGGTTTCTAGTATATGTAAACGACCTTCCAGAGGGTATAGACTCATTCCTCTCAATGTTTGCTGATGATGCAAAAATTATGAGAAGAATCAAAACAATGAAGATAGACAGAGACTACATGATGACCTGGACAAACTGGTGGAATGGTCTAGAAAATGGCTACTTAAGTTCAACTCAGGAAAGTGTAAAGTAATGAAATTAGGCGAAGGTAACAGAAGGCTGAATACAATGTACCATCTGGGAGGTGATATCCTGCAAGTCAAATAGAGAGAAAGATCTGGGGGTTGATATCACACCGAACCTGTCCCCAGAGGCCCACATCAAAAGGATATCATCAGCGGCATATGCTAGACTGGCCAATATAAGAACTGCCTTTAGAAACTTGTTTAAGGAATCATTCAGGGCCCTGTATACCACTTATGTCAGAGCAATCCTGGAATATGCAGCTCCAGCCTGGAGTCCATACCTAGTTAAACATAAGACAAATTTCGAGAAGATTCAGAGGTATGCCACCAGACTGGTCCCAGAACTGAGAGGAAAGAGCTACGAGGAAAGGCTAAAGGAGCTGAAACTCACAACCCTGGAAAACAGAAGAGTAAAGGGAGACATGATAACCACCTACAAAATTCTCAGGGGAATTGACAGGGTGGACAAACTCTTTAGCACGGGTGGAACAAGAACAAAGGGACATAGGTGGAAACGTAGTACCCAGATGAGCCACAGAGACGTTAGAAAGAATTTTTTTAATGTCAGAGTAGTTAACAAATGGAATGCATTAAGTAGTGTTGTGGTGGAGGCTGACTCCATACACAGTTTCAAATGTAGATATGACAGAGCCCAGTAGGCTCAGGAATCTGTACACCAGTTGAGAGGCGGGACCAAAGAGCCAGAGCTCAACCCCCGCAAACACAACTAGGTGAGTACAGATGAACACACCAACTGATACTCCTCGTGGATGAGACTAGGCATCATCAAATGCAACTTGTTATACCAGATAACTATTATTAATTCTTCTTTTCAATTTCACCTGTCGCAGGGCACAAACAATAATAATCGTAACTTGTATACGACATCTATATCAGGCGAAATATTGTAATTTATTAGATAAGATTTAATAAATAATTACCCCCTGTTTAGGTAGCTCGCCATGCGTTCTAAACAGTATTCCCTAATCTATTATTACTGGCCAACAATAGCTAGTTAGAACTGGAATTGGGTACAGAACACTTCCCATATTGATGACGAAGCTCGTGCTGATGATGGGAGCTCTTTACGTCCCGTAATACTACGTCTAAATGGAAAATTGTGGAGCGTCAAGTGAACTTCAAGCGAGACTTTGTTTACGCTAAATTTTAATGGCGTCTGCCTCCTTCACGGCTGAGAGAGACGCCTCGCTGGTTCCTATACTGTCCTTGTATTGACAATGGGAGGTAGACTTTAGTTTGTTAGTAATTATAGTAGATCCAATCATAGAGAATACCTTTTATTGATTCTAATGCTAGACTGGTGTTTTAAGAAGAATTCACAATA